AGGGGTACCCAGGGCTGCCTGCACAGCCTCGGCACCTCCTCCTCGCCCTCAGCCCGTGGGGTGCAGGGATCCGGGCTGCCGGGCTCTGCCTGCACACAAAGGACCACCCGGCCATCTCACCGCCTGCGTGGGAAACGAGCTTTGGAACACAGCTCAGAGCAGGCAGCCAGAAACGTGCTGCCTGCCCTCATCTCCCAGCTCCTGGCCCTTCTGAAGTGGCCCCTCAGCACCCTGGGGCTGCTGCCAGGGAGCCCTGGTCCCCAAGGGCAGGAATGGCCTGTGAAGCTGCAGCCCAGCAGTCAGGAACAGCAGCAGCTCAGCCTGCAGCAGCAGCCTCAGGGGCAGCAGGTGCTCACACCACAGGGCCCCTCCAGCCCTTGGCCTCCTCACAGCCTGGGAGCACAAGCAGCTCCTTCCAGCTACTGAGACAACAGCCAACCAGTTAGAACTACTTTTTAAAAAACCTCTCCTTGCTGAAGCCCACGCACTGTCCCTGTGTTAGGCAAGGCCTCATTTGCCACTTACATCCCATCATCAGAAAGCTGCAGGAGACCCCACCCCCAAATCCCTACTGTAAGCCTTTGTCTGGTATGTAAAGTGTGTTTTATCTAAACAAGCTGCTCAGCAATGGTGGTTATTCCTTTTCCTTTTAAAGCAAACAACTTCCTCCTCTGCCACAGCACTTTCCATTATCAGAAAAGGCCACGGTGATACCCAGTTTATTGCTGAATTGATAAGCCTATCTCACGGTGTAAGGAATTGGAGTATTGATAGTGAGGTGCAGTTTAATAGCTGATGACTCAAGTATCCATAGCTTGTCCATTTTACAAGCAGTTAGAGATGCAAGACACTTAGTGGTAAAGGATACTGCAGAACATGATATAGTACATCTCCATGTTCAGACTGCAATCAGAAGTAAAAACCACATTCATTCAGGGATCTGGAATAGACCTGGTACTTACAAATTATACTTCTTCTTTTGGGAGATATTTCTTAGCTGTACAGAAGTGTGGAGAGGCTGAAATGAACAAAGGCAATGTGTTACTATGGAATTGTATGCCAGCACCATTTAATTATCCAAATAGTATAAGAGCAAGATAAACGTGATAAAGATGAGTGTGAAAGTAGTATTTAGAAGTTTGTCCTCCACAAGTAAGTCTATGTAATTATAGCCTTGTACCAGTAGCCCGATACCTTGTAACCCTGACACAATTGGACACATTCATTGGAATTTCCTCTTTCAGATTTCAGTAGCTGGAAAACAAGCATCATGCACACATCTTTGTTTCATCTTTCTGAAATGCCCTTTGTCCTGTGGCACATCCACACCTGGCATCCCCACTCGCAGCTTTGCCCATCCCATCCTCCCCGTGGAGGCTGCCTCCTTTGAACAAGGTGGATACACACCCCAGGGGCCAACTGGCAGGGCCTCCCTGCACCCATGGCAAGTCAGATGGATTCCACCCCACAGCTCCAAGCCAGAGCGACATGCCTGCACCACGTGGAGAGCCAGCACTGGTTGGGCAACACAGCATCACGGGTGCATTTCAGCTCAGTGCAGTGGCCTGGATTTCTGCTGGTGTGAACTGGCACACCCGAGTCAAGTCGACGGTGGATTTATCACACTTGGCATCAGACGAGCGAGTAGCCCCCAGAATGCTTTGACCTTTCAGAATTTTCTTCTTTACAAAGTGCAATAAGCATACAAGCAAGTATCTCTTAAGAACTTAGGAAAAGACTGACTTGCTTTTATAATCTTAATAACCATCTTTAAGTCTAACTGGCCACATCAAAAGAAGCGTGGCCAGCGGGTCAAGGGAGCTGAGTCTGTCCCTCTGCCCACCTGGAGAACTGTGTCCAGTTCTGGAGCCCCCAACACAGGAAGGACACGGAACTCTTGGAGTGAGTCCAGAGGAGGCCATGAAGATGCCCAAAAGGCTGGAGCAGCTCTGCTTTGGAGACAGGCTGGGAGAGTTGGGGTGTTCAGCCTGGAGAGGAGAAGGCTCCAGGGAGACCTTAAATTACCTTTCAGTACCTGAAGGGGCTCCAGGAAAGCTGGGGAGGGACTTGGGACAAGGGCAGGGAGGGAGAGGACAAGGGGGAATGGATTAGGACTGGAAGAGAGGAGATTTAGGTTGGACATCAGGAAGAAATTATTCCTTGTGAGGGTGGTGAGACACTGGCCCAAGCTGCCCAGAGAAGCTGTGGCTGCCCCATCCCTGGCAGTGTTGAAGGGCAGGTTGGATGGGGCTTGGAGCAGCCTGGGCTGGTGGGAGGTGTCCCTGCCCATGCAGGGGGGTTGGATCTAGATCATCTTTAAGGTTCTATGATTCTATGATTCAAAGAAAACATCTATTTACAAAGTACTTTGGCCCAACTCAAGTCCATCATGTGCTTAATCCTCTTTCAATGCCACAAACACCTCTCCCTCTTGGACAGGGCAGCAGATTCATAGCAGTGATTATTTCAAGGGTATGGATTGAGCTTCATCTACTAGTTTACCTATCACTGATGACACAGAGGATTTTCTATGAACATCATACACTTTTCAACTTCGAGAGGAAAAAATACAGGTTAAATGTACATTTTTTTTGTGCTTGAAAATAATTTTCCTTGTAGTGAATCTACAGCAGTAGAAGGCTTGTTCAGAGCAATGAACTGCCACTTTCTGTAGTGCTTTTACATGACTAAAACCATACATAACCAGTGACTACACTACTTACTTTATCTGCTTTCTGTAGGATTTGCATCCAGTTTCATGCATTGCTCTTGTGGGGATGAATCTGCACTGGTTTTGTCTGCTGAAAATTACACCTACTTGCAAAAATCAATGTGTTTTTTTTGTTAGAAAGCATTTTTGAAACCAGAATAAAATCCTTCCTAGTCTTGCACTGAAGCACTTGGCCCTGTTACACACACACAAATGAAATGCAGTGTTTTCACCAATTCTTGGACCAGCATTTCTGCAAACAGCACAAGTGCATATGTCAGCATGTCAGATAAATTTTTATATACTTCCATTGCACAACATGAGAGATTCTCATGAAATATTCTTAAAAGTACAGATGGTTAATTGAGGTGCAGCTCACTTGAAAACATTTTCATTTCAATTACAGAAGATTAAGCATGAAAATCGTAAGTGGTAAAAAATATGGGGCTCACATGGGAGCACAAATGCCCTTTTAGGCAATATGTTTAACTGGGGTACCTAGATGAGGAAAAACCTTGAACCAAACTTACTCCATAGAAAGGTCAGTTTCAAATCTGCCATGTATGTGAGGGATGAACTAGGTCAAATGTTCTTAAAACAACCAGGCTTTCCTATAAACTATGAGAGTTCAAAATGCTGCCCCCAAGGCTGAAAGTGGCTGATGCCTCTTCCTGTAAATACAGGGTGAGGTCAAAGCTACTGGACAACACAGATGTTTAAAAAAAAAAAAAACATAGAAAGGTCAGTTTCAAATCTTCTCTAATTTCTTACCCCACATCTTGGGTCAGCATTAAGTAGCAATTTAGAAAAAGAAAAAAAACACAACCCAAACAGCCAATTCTCATCCATCTGAGTGTGTCTCAGGAGATGGAGAAGAAAAGGCTGACAGATCCACCAGCTCATGCTGGCTTGCTCCCTACAGGGCAGTTTTCAAAGCTTCATTCTACTGGCTTGTCTGACATTTCTGTTACTCTCCCGTGTGCAGCTCCTGAGTGGCTCAGCACATCTCACTGGTGGGAAGAGCTTCATAATGCTCAGCTGGTATTTTCACTTTCCAAATTACAGCCCAGTGCTCCATGCTAACTTATTTCTTAGCCTCCCAGGGGTTTGTGGTTTTTTTCATTTCTGGAGTCTTTTCATGACTTCTATCCTTACTTGCTGCTAGACAAACCTGTGCAACTTCTGTATTTGTACCCTTGTAAAGGGTGTTATCAAACCAAGTCCCTCCCGCACCACTGCCCTTACATCTAGTTTCTCCTGCCTCCAAGTGATTTGTTAAAATATGAGAAGGACCAAGGTGGAAGAACAATGGTTTTCTGGACAGCAGGCTGCAGGCAAGCTGGGAGAACACCAGCCCCCTTACCCAACAGTTCTGTGTGCTGTTCTGTCCATTGGCATCTCTTTTGAGTCATCTCTTCAACAGTGTTCTTCACTCTCCAGGAAGAGGTGAGTTAACCTCTGAGAGAGACAACACATGAACATATGAAGACAGCTCTCTCTGAT